ACCATGTTTCCTCTGGGATCCCCGTGCCACGCATTCTTCAAGTGGGCTGTGGGGGCAGAGGACCGAGGAGGGAGCCCCGTGATCCTGGATGTGTTTGTGTGTGGATAAAGGGGTTCTGGGGCAGCAGATTCTGTCTTTTTTTTTTTCATTTTTTTTTTTCAGATTCTGTCTTAAGGGATAGAAGTACCAGCGTTTTGCCTCCTGCGCCCCATACTTGCCACCTTTATGAGATATGGAAGTTGTTTTAATCCTTAAAACTTTTTCCATTTCGATGGAGATATTAATTTTTCACTTTTAGACTTATTGGAGGGATTAAAGAAGATAAACGTGGGCATTAACTAGCTTACAACAGTTGCTCAGCAAACTGAGATTTATTTCTACCCTTAGTATCGTTTGGAAACACCAGCTTCTCACTTAATCTGCAGTTCACGCCTTTCTCTGTGAGCTGGTTTATGAGCTGGCTCTCATGGGGGGCAGATGACACCATGAAAATGAAGTGGGCCACAGCCTTCACTTGCCAGCCCCCACTCTGCATCTATACCAAGTCCTTTGTTACAGCCCAGGGCACAATGTTGCCTGGCAGGTTTCTTGCCAGATTCTCTATCCTGGACCCCTCTCCCCCAGTTTGCACGCCACTTCTCTGAGTCCAGGCTCAGCCACAGTAAGATATATGTGATCCCAATCCTCATAAGGCCACTCGGGTAGACAGCAGTCTACCTGAGCTCACTAAGTAGACAGCTCACACTGAGAGCTTAAGAAATCAGCCAGCTTTACACTTGGGATACTGTCAAGACATTTCAGTTCGTGTATCCAAGTCTGTCAGAAAAATAATCCGCAGATCTGGGACTGGGGAGCTGGTCAGGGGGCAAGGGCTAGTTGCAAAAGCATGATGATCCAAGCTTTGATCCTCGAGACCCATTTGTAAAAGCCAGGTATGGTGTGGCATGGGACATGTGTCTGGACCCCCACACAGAGGAATGGAGAGATCTTGGGTCTGACTGGCAGTCACTCTAGCAAAAATGTTCCGTTTCGTGTTTCATAAGCACCCTTGAAAATTGACCTGAAGGTAATGCTATGCAATGTTTCCAGTGGGTTTGCTGTTTCCACAGTACCTTGTCATTTGAGGTCAGCATGGCGTCCTGTCCTGGCATCGTGTTGGTACCCAAGGCTCAGACGGGTGCTAAACTTGTAGGGTTGTCTTATTTTCAAAATAGGTTTTAAATTTTTAACTAATTTGTAAAGTTCAGAGCGAATTATGTTGATTGACAGAGGGTAATTAAAATCACAAAATGTACCGGGCAGTGGTGGTGCACTCCTTTAATCCCAGCACTTCAAAGGCAGAGGCAGGGGGATCTCTGAGTTAGAGGCCAGCTTGTCTACAGAGCAAGTTCCAGGACAGCCAAAGCTACACAGTGCAACCCTGTGTCAAAAAAAGCAACAAAAATAAGTAAATAAACAAAGAAATAAACAGCTAAATAAAATAAAAACACAAGATGTAACATGAAAAAAAAAAAAGAAATCAGCCAGCAAGATTGTCAAAATGGAGGTTCCCAGGCCTCACAACAGAGGAGTAGGTCTGTGCTGGGGAGGGAAAGTGTGGTCCCAAAGCATTCTCTTCCCGGAGGGACCAGCGCTTTAGCAGGGATGCATGGTGGCATGTGGTCTCTGGCGCATAGAGAGTGGCCTGTGGCAGTTACTCCTGCTGTCTGTCATACAGTTAGTCTGATCTCACAGCTTCAGGAATCCTGGCTGCTGTCTGTAGCCACCTGCCTGCACATCCACAGTGCTTGGACAACTGTGGGCCCAGCAGTGTACCATTGTGCTTTCTGTCCTAGCTCCCTCTGGGAAATCTTGGGTGTAGCAATTATTTTGATGACATGCTGTGGACCAGGAAACAGGAATGGAGGGATTGCGCATATGCAAGGATCTCAGATCTGTCTTAGAAAAAGACAGAACCCCAAAAGCCCAAGTTTATAAGCCCAGAACAGCGATTCAATCTTCTCACCACGGACTGACTTAATCAGCCCCCCTGCTTTGCTTTCCCAGAATGGCCGTGTGTATTTCTGTCACCTGAGAGTTGCTTTGACAATAGGTAGGCACAGGTGACTTGCCAGTGGATACACTAAGATAGGTTTAGTGGGAAAGGAAAAGAAACAACAACAAAAACCAACCAATCAATCAAACAAAAACAACTGAATCCCATGTGGAATTCAAAGACTTCTTGGGAGCACTTCCACAGCCTTGGGAAGCCTGTCTTTAGAATAGCACTGTGCTTGGCTGTAGCTCCCTTGAGGCTCCACAGCTGAGCACTCTGGGCCTTGAAAACATCTGCCAAGAACCTCCAGAGAGAGCAGTCACTGGGCTTCTCCCTTCAGGCCCCAGGATTAGAAGTCCCAGCTGGCCATGTGCAGGCCAGTGTGCCCAGGCCAGCTCTGATTCAATTTAGAGCTTGATTCTGAGGGTGTCTGTTCTAGTCCGTGCCAGGCACTCTCCTCCCGGCAGCTGCCTGCTCTCCTCAAAGGGCCTGGAGATGTCTTTCCTGTCTGCAGTTTGGGTTGCAGAGGCATAAACAGAGTGCACAGCAGCTGTTGGGCTGGGCGAAGGCTCTGGGAAGTGGTTGAGTATAGAAGCCCCCATCTAGATAGGACTTGGACACAGGCCCTGCAAAGGGGACTCCATCCAGACAGCTCTAATGGAAACAGCGGTAGCAGAGCCCTGGGTTCCACAGCAGGGAACTCATTCTCTGAGTGCAGGGCAAAGGGAAGCTGGGGAGGAGGGAGAGGAGCTGGGAGCACCTCTTCCTTCTCTAGCAGCACAGACCCACCCTCTACCCACTGCAAATATTTTAGTCTTCCTTCCAAAAAAAGAAAAAAAGAAAGTCACTAGAAGTTGGTACAGAAGGTATACTTTGTATTTCCTGCCAAACAGTAACAACCATCTTGTCCACCAAAGGTATTAAACTCCTTGAATCTGAGGCTCGAGTCTAAGAGGTTCTTACCATGTAGAAAAGCAGCTTGATTTCTGAGACGAGACTCTGAATACGGTAACACCTTTGGGACAAAGGTGCTGGCCACAACTCACCCAGCCTACAAGAGGCAGGGGCTTCACTGCAGGATATGTGAAGAAGCAGCTTCTGGTGTGGACACACAGGGCACCATTCCTTGATCCACGCCATTTATCTAGGGTTCCAGTATTTGATACCCGGGAAGAGGTGACACCTTTCCCAGTGAAACCTGAGTTAAAACACCAGCTCCATTTCAAAACTTGATGTCAAATCTCAGCTCTGGTTTTTCATGTGTTGTTACCTATGCCCCTGCGTCCAGGAGGGCAGAAGAACCACATTCTTCTTATTCTAGGACGACGTGGATAAGAAATACAGGATCCTGGGTCTAGATGCAATTGGTAGCATATTCCGTTCATGAGTTAGATCCACAATGGGCTTGCTGGGTGAGCGGCTGGCTCTTTTCACATCATTGTCTTGGCCCCTCCCCTCTTTATTAGTAAGACTTATTGTCTAACCCAGATTTAGGGTGCTTCTTATATAGACAGGAGCAGACTGGACTCACCAAGAATATCTCACAAACCCTCACATACCCTTATGGGCAGTGCCTGTGGAAGCCTTGGACGCCAGGCTGATCTGAGCCTGCCTCAACTCACAGCTGCCTGGGCCCGGGCATCTGGCTTTCTGCACAAGTTTATACTGTTGAGTACAGTCATGGGGTGTAACATTCATAAAGCACATTCACAAGAGACACCTAGACAGACCTTTCAGGCCAGGGCTGGCCCTTGAGCAAGCTCTCAGCATAACCTTAGGGGTCCAGGATCACCCACCTAGTGCTTATCATCCAGAACTGAGACCAAAGAACAGCACAAAACAGGAGCTGTGCCCTGCTCCACCCTCCTTGTCTGACTCCATATGCCTCCCACCCCACCCACATCCTGTCCAGTGTACCCTCCCTTCTGTCTTGAAGCAATTCTCTGTGTCTTGGTCTTTGCAAACAGCAGTGATCCTCATGAGGCCCTCAACCCTTCCTCTTAGGATATTAGAAAATGGAGGCAGGCAGTTGGCCACTGCTGGAGCCATGCTGGTGCCAAAAAGGGAGCTAGGCAGGGCTTCCTCACCACACCAGGTCAAACTTCATCAACTCAGAAGCCAACAAGAAGTAACTGCTGGTTCAGGCAGGAAAGCCATGTTCAAACAAGGAAAAGGCTATTTCAAGTATGTCCATGAGTAGTTTGCAGCCTCAGCCTGGGAATCCTAGCATCCAGTGGGAGTATCCTGGCCTCCCGCAGGGGTCATCTGCCACCGGGAGAACTTCCAGGAGCACTAGGGCTTCTAGCACTCTGCGCTACCCTGGGCTGCCTTCCTCCCTGCTCTGGTTGAGACAATGATAGTAGGTGGTGGTGATGGTAATTTCATGCTTTAATTAGTGCACATGAATGCCTTTCCTTTATGAATAAGAATATAAAAGCTGTCTATTTGATAGGAAAAATCTAGCAAATGCATTCCAGTGAGATGCTGTATAGTAAGATAAGCTGGGAATTGGTACCTTAGGGTGTCCTACACACCATGGATCCATGGGCTACTGGAGACTAGGCTCTGTTATATGAATATTTTACAACAATGAGCCTTTGCCAATGAAAACAAACTCTGTTCCCTCCTTTCTGGCTAGGTTCACTGTTTATAAAGGTATCTCTAACCTGGACCAGATGTTTCCCTACAAATGACACACCAAGTCTCATTTTAAGGTCAAGCCTCCAAAGGCCATCTGTCCTCTGATAGGTGGATGCCTGCTTCGGTCATCAGTTCTGTTTCTGAAGCCAGTATCACCTCTACAAGGACAAAGCAGACTGACCAGGAAGTAAGGCCACCTAACAACCTTGCTTGACGACACCCTTCATGGCAGACAATGGCCAGGCTTCCTTGGCTATCCTTGGTCATGGTGTGTTTGTGTGAACATCACCCTGTAGTGTGTATACCCAGCTACTAGAGGCCTTACCTCATGGGATAAGTAGAAGGCCGCAATGCCCAAAGGCCAGAAGCAGCAGAGCATGGAGAAGACGCTGAGCCCCAGGTGGTCCCGAGGGGGCATCATGAGGAAGTTGTCCTCACTCTCTGTGTCACTGGAGTAGTCGCTCTGCAGAGACAAGGGGAAGGACGGGAGGGAGTTCAGTCAAGGAGTAACGGAACGCCACCTGGCTGGAGCAGGTCCTGCCTGGCTGCTGCTCTAGCTGCCCTTGCTGTTATTCTTGTTAGCATGATCACCAGCAAGTGTGAGCCTCGAACAAGCTGGGTAGCAGTGGGAAAACTGGCCAAGATCAGGAAAGCTAAAGGCCTTCCCAGTCCAAACCTTGTCCACAACTACACAGTAGGCAAATGCTTCAGAAAAGAATTGTGATACAAGAGGTCCTCAGCTCACCATGATTCAACTTAGAGCTTTGCTTTTGTTGTTGCTGTTTTGTTTTAGTTTATCATTGATTTCTTCAGGCATTAAATGAATTCTGACATAGAGGATTGCTTAGACTTATAGTGGGTTTATTGGGAGGCCAGTGAGGAAAATCATATTTCAGAGATCTTTAGGATCCTGGTGTGGGGTGATAGGGATAAAGATGGTGGCTTTGGGGACTTCTAGGAGACATGACCTACCTGTATCTTGCTTTTTTTTTTTCAGGAAGATTTTGCTTATATTTTACTCATAAATATCCAAAACTTTGCAGACATTTAATTGTATGTATATTCACATTCATAAAATAATAAATGCATCGTACATTTTAGTGATTGCTATTTTGTACATTTTAGAATTTATTTTCTCCAATTAAAAAATTCTACACAAGACAGCAAACATTTTACCTCCTAAGTATAGCATAGCATAAATTTAGCTTTTAATGCAACAGCCAGCATAAGCACATATTACAGGCTGGACAACTTCAAAAGACTCAGAGCATCATTATATATTTTAAACTGAAATACAATTGGGAGACTGCTTTTTTTAATTTTTGAAAAATTCTGCTTTTCATTAGGAACTGTCTTTGAAAGTCTTCATTATGTCTTAATGATTCTCAACCTCTATTGGCTTTCTCTTGCTCTGCATCCCTAAATGGTAATAAATAATAGAAGATTTAGAATTGGATGAACTTAGTTCATGGAAAGATAATGTATCTTGCTTTTTGTGCTCAGCACATGGTGGGGCTAGTGTGGACAGAGGGAGGATGCTGTCTCTAGGTATGCTCAAGTTTCCTTTGATGCTGATCTGAGTCAGGATATAAGAGTTCTACCCAGATGTGCAGCCTCCATCGTGCGGATGTGACAGCTGTTCTGGGAGCAGCTGCCTGTAAATGCAGCTGTCTTTTCCCTGTGATACATGGGACTCTCACAGACGTGGTGAGAATGTCTGGGAATCTGATGTAGGTGGTTTGGTGGGTGGGCTGGGAATATCAGCGGGAATGATCCCAAGACTTTGGGATAACCACTGCCTAGCTACCTCGTGCATGCTTGCTTCCCAGATCTTGGATGGACACCCTTGGCTCGTTCCACTCCCGGAGGATTTTATCTCATCAGAGCACATGCCCTTCGTGCCGACTCATCAAAAAACAAGGCTGCCTCCTCCAACTGTTTATCTCACACAAAGATGAAGCCCTAGCTTGCTCCAGACACTGTTTCTAAAAACAAAAAAGAACCAGAGCATCTCCTCTTCAAAGGGCTCATTATCATTCAGCTCCCGCCCCAGCCGGGAGAGAGAAGCTTGACAACGTACTATGGTGCATGACTGTGGGGTGATTCCACTCGACACCTGCCACACCAGGCTAGCCACCACCCACCCCACCCCCCAGCAGCATACACAGATGCAAAAATCCCCAAAATGAAAATGATGCTGTTCATAATTTAACACATAAAACTGCCGGAAGCCCCAGCCGCCAGGCAGACCACACAGCATTGCATTGAGAGGTCAGGGACTCTGAGTGAAAACTTGGTTTCTGTGTAGAGAAAACAAGCACAGGATGTTGGGATCACTCACATAATAAACAAGGATTTCTTCGGGTGAAGAAGAAGTTGATGACCCACTGCCCACTGAGGGCTGGTTCTCCCCACCACACACAGGCAGACCTGAGGGGCAGGGGTCCCATGCTTCACTCCCAAGAGCAAAAGTCATCTCTAGAGGCTATAAGGCCAGCTCCCTATTATGGCCCTGTCCTGCTGGTCATTGTTGCTCTCTGCCCAGGTATGAGTCTTCTGCCTGGTACTGCATCCCTTCCATGTGTCTGGGATTGTACAGTGTCCCTTCTACGGAACTACATCTGTGGAATTTCACTTCATTTTATTCCGTACACATCTCCCATATGGTCTTCAGAACAGTAAAGGAAAATGAAAATTACTATCATTATGGCTATCTGAGATGGAAATCAACACAGCCAGCAGGGAAGCATAATTCATGCAAGATCCAGGGACTGCACTGCCCAGGCCTTGCATAGCATGGAATCACCTATCAGGATGAAGGAGGCGCTGTGCTCAGCCTGAATGTTGTCACACAGTGCCTCTTCACATACAGACCTGTCACCTTTAGCTCTATTTCCTGCTGAAGACTAGTGACGTAGAGAGGAGGTTTACAGCCACAGCTGCATGTTGACTGTCCTGCTGGAGGGCCATCTCTGCAGGAAGTGCCTTAGAGTTTGGCCTGTGGCAAGTCCACCAGGGTCTAAAGAGCACTCTTGGAAGTCAAAGGTCATCCATCTTCTTTCTCCAGACCTTCACCTTCTTAAGCTACAGACCAAAGTTGCCCTGACCAGAGTGGAGGTTTTGGCTCATGGGCAACAAATCTGTGCCTGTTTGTTTGGATTCTTAGTTTTCAGGTTTTGGCTTTTAGTTTACAAAGAGTTCTGTACTCCTGAGGTCATTGTGTCTCATAAGGACTCTAGAAATAATTGAACTTTTATTGCCATTTCTGTTTTATAATGGGCAAAGCAGTGGCCAGGAGAGGTTGACATTCTTGCCAATCACCCTGCTTAGCCAGCTCCGCACTGTTTATTCCAGGCTTCGTGCTATGCTTGAACTCATAGCCAGCTGCACAGAAAACTGTTTTGTTTCACCTACGTCTAGATGCTCCTTCACTTTGGTCACCAGGGACTCTGATTATCTTGCTTCTTAATTAGTGTGTGCCAAGATGGTTGTGTAGGCATGGCAGTAGCCACAGAGATTTTGAAATTTTCCCATATAGACAGGATAAAATCTGCTCCTCCACAGCACCCCAAGCATGCTAGCACTGTAGGGGCTGGCTCTCCCATCTCTGAAGAATCACATCACTCTCCCTGTGCTGTGGAGAAATGGGTTTCAGAACAATACATACTTTGCTGCTTCTTAATTGAACCACACACAGAAGTTACAGAGTTGTTCTTGCCTGACACCAAAATAATTAATCAGCTTGATTAAAATGGATTTTCAAAATTCAAGAAAAATTACAGAGACGATAAGAACATCCTGGCTTGTAATCCTTCCTTTGCTCCAGGAACCTGATGGGTTTAAGTGGTCACGGGCAGAGAGCCACTACATGGGGAGAGGAGATATAGCTGGCCCAAGAGACATGCAGATTCCTTTGCCAAGGAGATGCAATATGCGCCGCCCATGCAGAGGAGACTCGGCTTGTAGGGCAGCTGTCTTTAAAATCCCTTTCCTAGGTCACTGTCTGGAACATCTGCAGCAGATGGGAACCACTCACAGAAGTTCAGGATTCATGAGATGTCTCCTTGCGAGCTGTAGGAAGCAAGGCAGAGGCAAGTGGACTGCTGGCCCTGCAGCCTGTGCCCGCTGATTGGTTGCTCCCCTGAGTGACATATCTCCCCACTGGGCTGTGGGTTTCAAGTCTCATTTTATTTATTTGTTTTATTGTTAAATAGTCTCAAGGTCAGGCTTTGTAGTTGATCTTCCCCGAGTTCCACACCGACTGCAGCAATGCAAGCAAGTACTACTGATTGTTTCCAGGGAGCAAACTTTGATTTAGCTCTGTTACTTGAACCCCCTCCAGGTGTCACCACCAGTGTGGGGTCCTGGAGTCATCCTTCTTCCTCCACCCTGTCATCTGGGCAGGAAGGTCACCATTTGGTCCTAGGAGGCACTCTGGCTGGGTTCATTATGCTAAGCCATCAGCTGCTAGCCACGCAGACCTATGCAAACCTCAATCACTTAGAATTAGATACAACCAAGAGCTGGCTCCGGGGACCCACTACACATTCTGTTACTCAGAAGCCACAGTGTTCAGTCTCTCTCTCTCTCTCTCTCTCTCTCTCTCTCTCTCTCTCTCCCTATCTATCTGCACACTTCTCTCATGTACCTGCATCACCAGGGACTCCCTGACACTGGACAGACTGTCTCAACCTTCCTTGGCAGAATCTTCACCTACCCAGAAATTTTCAGCCATGTTGCTGTCTACCAACTGACTTGGTCTGAGCTCCTGGCAGGCAGAGACACACATCCCTGGCACAGAGAGGACTCAGTGAACCTTTGCTGGATAGAGAACTCCCCTGAGGCCTTAGTCAACAGAAACATCAACTTCAGCTGAGAAATGACTCCACCAAAGTGGCCTGCAGGCAAATCTGCAGAGAATTTTCTTGATTAATGACGATGTGGGGAGGTTCCCATCACTGCGGGTGGTGCCACCTCTGGAAAGGTGGACTTGGGCTGTATAAAAACCAAGTCGACTGAGTCCTGGGGAAGAAGCTAGTAAGCAGCTTTCTTCCATGGCCTCTCTTTCAGTTCCTACCGTGAGGTCCTGCCTGGTGGTCTGGAGTTTATGAAATAAAAGATGAAATAAACTCTTCCCTCTGGCTTTTGGTCATGGCGTTTTTTGCATCAATAGAAACGAAGCTCAGATAAGGTCCATGTTCCCTGCTTTACTCAAAATCGGGTGACATTAAAATCCATGGCATCCTGTCTAGCCTTATTGTGTGGTACCTGCATGGCTCAGAGATCTGGGGTCTCACAAACACAGGACACAAGGAAGGCCCATTTCAGGACATGAGTACAATCATCCTAAACAATACATAAACCATCTTGGGTGTATCTTAGGAGTATGTGTTTAGTTTCTCCTGTTTGGCCCTAGGTTCCCCACAGATTGAAAGTGTATCATGAGGTGGTTAGGCAGAAGCA